CAGCTTGAGCTTGATTCTCGGCTGCAGGTTCTGCGTGGGTCGCAGCTGCTGGATGAAGAGTCCTCGGTGCGTGTCCTAAGCGTGGATGAAAAGAGGCTGTTATCCGGAAGAAGGCTAAAGTGACGATGTCCGATGTTCCTGATCCCTGGCCTGCCATTTTTACCCATGTTGCAACCAGATCTATTTCTATCTCCGATGGCAGTTTAAAAAATTCAGATCCAATTCACATAACATCGAAGTCGCCATTTTCAGTGGACAATTCAGAGACATAGTACATTTCCAGTGTTATCCCACCATCACTGCCACCTCGTTCCAGAGCATCTGTGTCACCTTGAAAGGAAGCTCTATACCCATGAGTAGTCCCTTGCCACCCGCCCTCTGCTCCACCCCTGGCAACAAGATCCTTCAAGCTCAGCCTTCCAAGTAGCTGGAACTACAGGCATGCACCACCACACCTGGTTAATTTTTGGATTTATGGTAGAGATGAGGTCTTGCCAAGTTGCCCGGACTGGTCTCAAACCCACAGGCTTAGGTAATCCACTCACCTCGGCCTCCCAAAGTACTGGGATTCCAGGCTGAGCCACCAAGCCCGGCCTATCCTCTACCTTTGAGGAACCCTCCACCTCCCTGTCAGTGACCAGCTGGGGAAGGAAGAAGACCCAGTGATTAATTCCGACTTTGCTTTTCAGCCCCTTCCCCTTCCTCAGGGAGGTGAATCTTTTCTCTCTCTCTCTCTCTTTAATCTACTTTCTAAAGAAACTATATTTTCCAATCTAAAAGAAAATTTTTTTTTTATAGAGGCAAGATATTGCTCTTTTGCACAGGTTAGTCTCGAATTCTTGGGCTAAAGCGATCCTTCCACTTTAGCCTCCCAAAGTTCTATGATTACAGGCATAAGCCACTGGGCCCAGTTCATTTTGTGGTTTTGGTAAAGAAACCGAGCCATGACAGGCTTGTGGCTCTTTTCTGCCCATTCCGTGCCTGGGGGATCTTGACACTTGACCTTCGGCAGACACATGTGTCCTGTCTGCAGGAAGAGGGGCAAGCTCTTCCCTTCTGGAGTCCCAAAGGCCGCTCCACTCGGAGGAGACTTGAACCCTGGTGTCCTGCAGACACTGCCGCCCTGTGCGGCTTCTAGAAGCGACTCTGGACCCGCAGGCTGGCTCGCTCCTGTGCGGTCCAGGGCAGGTTGTGTCTGGGCCTTGCTTGTACCGAGACCCGGCTCACTCCTTCCATCTCCCTGCAGGGCAGTGCTGAGGGGATGCTGCTGGCAACCTGTCTGCCTGACTCCTGGGCCAGCCCGAGAAATGGAAGCAGAGGGAAAGAGGCAGGGGAGGCGCGAAGACAGATGCGTTTCCTATCTGCAGCAGGAACTCCTGTGTGCATGACGTCTTCCAGTTTAGGGTGTGCTTTCACTCCATTTCCTTGTGAAAACTTCCAGAATCCTTCGTGTTTAAGATACTCCCTTTCAGGTGAGGAAACTGAGGCTCAGAGAGGCCAAGGCACTTGTCCAAGGCTGCAAAGCAAAGTCGGAATTAATCATGGGGTCTTCTTCCTTCCCTGGCTGGTCACTGACAGGAAGGTGGAGGGTTCCTCAAAGGTAGAGGATAGGCCGGGCTTGGTGGCTCAGCCTGGAATCCCAGTACTTTGGGAGGCCGAGGTGAGTGGATTGCCTAAGCCTGTGGGTTCGAGACCAGTCCGGGCAACTTGGCAAGACCTCATCTCTACAATAAATCCAAAAATTAACCGGGTGTGGTGGTGCATGCCTGTAGTTCCAGCTACTTGGAAGGCTGAGCTTGAAGGATCGCCTGAGCCCAGCAGGTCGAGGGCTGCAGTGGCTGTGAGCATGCCACTGAACTCCAGCCTGGGCGACAGAGTGAGACTCCAACTCAAAAAAAAAAAAAAAAAAGAGGTAGAAGTCACAGGTATGCTGGCATTAGAAGCACTGAGGACCACCCAAGCAGGACACTACCCAGTGCATCCTACTCAGAAGACACTTCCTGATAGGAGAATTGCTGGGTCATATGGACGGCCAATTTCTAGTTCTTTCAGAAATCGCCACGCTGTCTTCCAAAGAGGTTGTACTAGTCTGCATTTCTACCTGGAGGAATTCAAATTATTCTACAAAAAAGATACCTGCACATGTATGTTTGTTGCAGCTCTATTCACAATAGCAAAAACATGGAATCAACTGTGTTGCCCATCGAAGCTGAACTGGATAAAAAAAATGTGGTACATATACACAATGGAATATTATGCAGCCATAAAGAAGGACAAATATATGGACTTTGTAGCAAATTGGATGGATTTGTAGTCGATCGTACTCAGTGATTTATCACAGAAACAAAGAACTGAGTTCCATATGTTCTCACTCATAAGGTGACG